TGCGCGCGCATCCCGTGCGCCCGGTCTTTCCGCGCGCGCACGCGTCGACCCTTCGCCACGCACGGCTGGCCCGTCCACGCCACGCACGCCAGCCGTGTTCCTCCCCGTATGCTTCGTTCGCGCTCGCGGCCTCTTCGTTGCACGCGTACTACTGCCGCGCGCTATGCCTATGCCCGCACCCGAACGCGCCTTGCTACCGCCGCCCGTGTCTCGCGCGTCCTTGTCACCTTCGTGATTGCCGCGCATGTTGCGCACTTCCAGTGCCCAGGCTCGCCTACGTACGCCCAACGCCCGCGCATCCCTACCCGATGCGCCCCTCTCGCCTATTCGCCTATTGGCCATGCCCGACCAATCGTCACATTCTCCGGGCTCGATTACCACTTCCGTATCAGCGGGTCCTGACGCGGCGCGTCACTGCTCACGGCGCGGGGCGCGCGGGGCCTGGCAGCTCGCACTACTTCACGGTTTTGAGTCGTTCGGGCTCGTCCGGTATCGGAATTCGATTCCGCTTTTTCCTGTGCATTGCCAACGAACTCCTCTACCTAATTATGCCTGCCCGACTGATTTTTGCTTGCAATCCGGTTCTCCCGAGATTTTTGACCTACACACCATAAACAAAGAAAAACCGAAAAAATATACGGAAAACACAAAAAAAACCGAAACGGAGAAAAACACACAATAAACGACAAAATGGACTAAAACCAACTAAATGACTCAAAATGGGGGAAAAAGAATGAGAAAATAATAAGAAAAAACGTAACAAAAATGGGACAAACAGTGAACGTTCGATTTTGTTCGCGAACAATAATTTTACATAATTTTATTTTTTATTTTTTTTATATATGTACATAATATTTTTAATTATAATATAAAATTAAATATAATTTTATTCATATTTTATATATTTATATAATATTTTTAATAAAAAATATAAAATATAAAAATATGTTTATTTTCAAGTTGAACGGAATAATTTCATGTTAATCAATCATTTTTAAAAAGTTTATCTATTAAATTATTCAAACCCCAACTTTGACGAACAATTAAACAAACGAGTTTGAACATGATTTTTTGATCGAAAAATAAACGAACGAACACAAATATTATTCGAACGTAAAAGAACACGAGCTCGAACAGCCCAAGCTCAGTTCGATTCGATTTGTCTATAGCACTAGCAGATGTCCATGTTTGACAAACGAAATTTATAATTATTTTTTTTTAAAAAAAAAGAAGAAGATAACAAGTAAGTAAATTAAGTAATTAATTTTACAAAATTTAAATCACAACAGAACACAAAAAAGAAATAGAAGCCAAAACCCAAAACCCAAAAGTCACCGTCGTTGACGGGTGAGATTTCAGGCTTCACAAGTTGGCCATTTATTGCAATAGCCCGCCATCTTCCCCTCTCCCTCTCTCTCTCTCTCTCTCTCTCTCTCTCTCTCACACACACACACTTGGGTGAGCTGACAACTTAGCAAAATCACAACCATCACAACCATGAAAAGCCTTGCGAAAGGCGGCCGTCGTGGGAGCGCATCCACCGCTGCCGCAACTCCGGCGTATCCGGCCCTGAGCTCCCCTGCCTACTCCGGCCCCGCCTCGACCTCCTCTCGCAAGTCGGCCGCCAAGAACGCCGCCCACTCGGTGGCGAACTTTCTGGTGTCTTGCTTTACGCCGCCTGAGCCGGAGAAAAGCTCGAACGATGTTTTCACGAGCGATTCATCTGGTACAGACACGCTTTCTTTCAGCTGTCTTCATTTGACTGATTCTTAATTTGGGGATGCCCATTTTTGAAATTGGGGAATTGTGGCCAGATTTGTTACTTGTTAATTGGATCTCAGATTTCGTTTAGGGAAAGGATAATTCTTTGATCTTAGCTGAAAAATTTTGTGGGTTCATTTTTAGCCTTTGTTTTTTAGTTGGAAGATTGCATAGCATTCATTACTGAATGAAAAATGGATATATTGTGGCTTATATTGGCATGATAGTTGATTATGAAGGTTCTTTTAATAGGAAGAAAAAAAAAAAAAAAGTCGAATCTTTTTCGGCTAGGATGTGGTAGTGATTTTGTTGTGTTTAGTTGTGTGAACTTAATTTGGTAGAGCTTGAGTTATTATAGAATTATATATGAATTTGAGAATCTCTTGACGGCCAATTTTAGTTGGTTGTTTCTTCATATGAGATTCAAACATCGGTTTAGAGTGAACGGCACACTTCGAAGATTTAGACAAGGCAATGCTCCAAAGGACTATGTGGAATTATTCGTATAACAAAAGAATTACATTACATTCCATCTGATACAAGTTTTCAAAGTTGATCGATTTTCATGTTTTTCCTTAAGCTTCAAATTCTGGAAGTGGAAAGAGACACATCTCAAATCATGGCATCTACAGTAGTCCAAACAAGTCAACTCACACCAGAGAGCCCGGGACTTTCAAATTCACCATGGATGAAATCCGCAAGGCGACAAGAAATTTTTCGCCGAGCTTAAAAATTGGACAGGGTGGATATGGAACGGTCTACAAAGGCCAGTTGGGTGATGGAAGTCTAGTTGCAGTTAAACGTGCTAAGAAGGTTAGATTGTGATTAGATTAAAAATTCATGTATCGTTGGTATTTACATAACATGGGCTTTTTGCCTGGAAAATATGTTTTCAGCATTTCCCTTTTAATTTAACTCTCGAATTAATTAATTTTACATTTTTTTTACTCAACTTGTTAGATCTGTTTGTGAGCGTTATCTTGATTTTCATCTTGTTTCCGCTTCTGGAACAAAAGATCATAGAAGCTTCTGCAAATCCTTGAACTTGCCCAAATTACAGTATATAATTAGGATCTTTTATAGCTTATGTCGTTGCAATAATATGTTTTGAATATATTGTTGCACATTTTCAGATTGTGTATGATAAGCAGTTAGGGGCCCAGTTTCAGAGCGAGGTCCGGACTCTATTGCAAGTCGAGCATCTGAATCTGGTAAAACTTTACGGGTATTTGGAGCATGAAGATGAAAAGATTCTTATCGTTGAGTATGTTCCGAATGGAACCCTTAGAGAGCACTTGGATTGTGAGTTCTTTCTCACCTGAATGCATAAGTCCTTAGGTGTTCCCAATGGCTCTTTTAGTTATTATTTTGATTTTGCTAATGCAGGTGTGAACCGTAATGTTCTTGACTTAGCTTCACGGCTAGACATTGCAATTGATGTGGCGCATGCAATCACGTATTTACATATGTACACAGGTTTAAAATTTTTTCAGGATGTTACAGAATTATTGTGTTTCCCATTATTGTTCCTAGTCATTCAGTGGTGTAGTAGAAGAATTGAGAAACATGTGCACAGTTATGAGTGAAAAAATTAAAGATTTAGAGGGCAAAGTGTAAAATCTCATAGTTCGGGACCCTCAAGGTATTTTAAATTGCCCCGATGTGGAGCTTCTTGTAAGTTTTTTTAAGGACGTAACCGTAAGTTTTACGATATATCTGAAGCTTCTTGTAATTTGACTAAAGCTTCTTGTAATTTCTTGCTAATCTTTATCCAGAAATCAAAAGGTTGTTTTCTTCATGCAGACAATCCGATAATCCACAGAGACATTAAATCTTCTAACATCCTTCTCACTGAAAACCTACGGGCCAAAGTGACAGACTTCGGCTTTGCCAGGCTGGCAGCAGACGCGGAGTCCGGTGAGACACATGTCTCGACCCAAGTCAAAGGGACTGCCGGTTACTTAGACCCAGAGTACCTCAAAACTTATCAGCTCACGGACAAGAGTGATGTCTACTCGTTCGGTGTTTTGCTTGTTGAGCTTATCACGGGCCGAAGGCCCATTGAGCCGAAACGTGAGCTCAAGGAGCGAATCACGACTAAATGGGTATGTATTTTTCCCTACCGTCTTTTATCGTGTGTGTGTTTTTTTGCACTTTGCATTTACCTGTATTGGTTCGGGAAGTTGTGACACGAAGAGTTGGATTATTTTTCAGAGATTATAAGATGTTAGATGTAGTTAACTAAATAAAAGAACATATTAGTATATTAGCAATGGTGATGTTACAAAAATACCCGAAACTAGAGAAGATCATTAAGACTGTATTTGGTAAGCATATATACTAGTTTATAGCTTATTTGATTACCTTATAAGCTTTGTGTATTCAAATAAGCTTGGTTTTGGTAGGATGTGCTTTTTTAAAAAGCTAAGATAAACTTATTTGGGTAGCTTTTCAAATAAACCCATTAAAATTTTTATTCAGCCAATTTTACACTTTTATCATATAAGCTAGTTTTTCAACCATAAGCCATGACTCATGAGCTATTCGCTATAAGCTTAAAATTCACTTAAAAGCTATAAGCTCAGCTAGGTTTACCAAACATAACCTAAGATGAGGTGAATTAAGGACCTCCATACCTTTCTAAGAAAGTTTACGAGTTCTACAACTGCTTCCTTTGACATCTTATGAGCATTTTTTTAGATAAAATCACCAAACCTTTGTGGACCTTAAAAATTTTATTACATTTAGAGAACTTGTAAGTCTATATGCATGTACGGTATATCCTAATGTGACTAGAAATAAACGACATAAAATTTTAATCCTTATTCTGTGTTCTGATAAGAGCAACTAAATTGCAGGCTATGAAGAAGTTCATAAGTGGCGAAGCAGTTTTAGCTTTGGATCCAAGGCTGGTGAGGTCCCTTGCAAATACCTTTGGAATAGAAAAGATTTTCGAATTATCTTTGCAGTGTTTGGCTCCGCACCGGAAGAATAGACCATCGATGAGGAAATGTGCAGAGATTCTTTGGGGAATCAGGAAAGATTACAAAGAACTGTGTTGATGACTCAACACAGTGTACGTATATATATAAAAGAACTTTGGACAAATTCATTCTTTCCGAGTTTAGAGTTGCACGGTGGAAATATATGCGAAATAAGCGACTATATAGTACAGGTTTCTATGGTACATCGCGAGTTTTTCTCCTTTTTTTTCGTTTTCTTTTATTTGGGGGGTAAGTTTGGCCTTTTGTGTATAGCACATTCTTTTGAGTATAGAAAGTATTTGATAATTTCTGCCTATAAAAGCTGATAGTAATTTTCATTTTTTGAAATGACTCCAAACATCTGATCTGTTATAAGCTGGCATTGTATGAGCTAAGAAATCAAGAAAATGAAGAAAATACTTCAACCGCTAATTATTATTATGTTCATAAGCCAGCAAAAACACAACACACCACAAAGCCATTTGAAACTAACAGGCTTGTTGTTCAAAATTTGAAATATATTACATCGGCCATCAATCGATTAAAATTACATAATTATGCCGAAAATTATAGAAACCAGTTCATGAAGTAAGTACCCATGAGGGTAAATATGTACAATGTATCAGAACCAGTTGGGAAAGCCTTGAAAAGGGAAAAAAAAAGATGTATCTATATTTGTTGTCTTTGTTCAACGTGGCCGAAAGAATTTTGTCGAGCTAAGGAATAGCTCACGTCTGAAGACCTCTCGTTTTCATTGATCTCGACTTTTGCTTTCGAGCAGAGGAAAAGGAATGAAGAAGTGTATACAAATATGTGCCACAAACTGCAAATTGTTTCAACACAAGAGAAAGAAACAGAACTCATTACTTTAGTTTCATCACAGAGAGAGAGAGAGAGAGAGAGAGAGAGAGAGAGAGAGAGAGGTCTAAGTTAACAGGTAATATGAAGTCTACCCCTGAGATTTAGCCTTATTACTAAAAGACCCACTTTTCTTCAAAGGTTACAAATGCTCCCTGTGGCATTTCTCTCTATTTTTACAGTTTGCACCCTCAAACAAGATAAATTTTTTGGGGCATTTGGTAATTTGGGTAAACATCCGGGGTAGCTTCGTAATATAATCAAAGTTCATATAATACCTGTGCCAAATCCAGTAGCTTTCAGTGCTCTCCATTGTCCAGCTCACAGCAGCCATTGCTAATGCAGCAAAACCTGCTATAAGAAATCCCCATCTAAACCGTTTTACGATTGTCTTGATAATGTCTCGTACCCATCCTTTCGTAATTTCCCATCTGAACGAAACAGATTTTAAAAACACAATACTGTTGAAGGAAAACCGAAAAATAAAAAATAAAAATCTCTCATGAAAATGGCAAAAACATGATATTAATAATTAAGCTTAATTTGAATATTAATACCAGTTTGACATGAACATGGTGCATATTTTATCCACATGTCCTTATTAACCATCAATAAAATATGAGTTAGATAGTCAATATATATCAACAAGTCCAAATTTTCATCCAATTAAACAAAAATATTTAAAAAAAAATGTATATACTATTAACTTAAATCATCTTTTCTCCACGAAGCGTTTCAATATCAATTTTAATATAAAACTCAAGCATTACTACGTTCACTCACATACTTCTAACTACCACTAATTATTTTATCCATCTTCCATCAAATCAACTTTGATAATTTTTGTTTCAATCTTAAATTCAATCACTTTCAGATTATTCTTTTTTATTCCCTTAAAACACTTACCTCTAGTGAAAGATTACATTTTCATCAGACCATATATAGTCGATCATCTGGAAAGTCTATTTACCTGTGATGAAGATTCAAATGAAACTCTCCTGAAATGGACAATGACCGATTTCGAGCACCGAACTCGATCAGCCAACCGACAAGAAGGCCCGCAGCTCCAAGGCCGAGCACATAACCAATGTTTTTGGACCTGCAAAAAGCCCATAGTGGTAAAATTCCCACTGAACCAAAAATATAAGCCCGAGCCCAATAGACTAGAGTACCTGGTGGGCCCAGTTTCTGCCAAAAGAGCCGTCACAATTGCAAGAATTGTATGAATCGTCCTCTTTGAGACTTCACTAATCGTGGACAAGTACACAAACGTACTCACAACAGCCATGAACGAAAGCCAGAAGTCCAAGAACTAACAGAATAAACACCTTGAATTACCCATGGAAAAAATATTGAAAAACTTAGGGGCTGTTTCGATACAAATATATCTGCTCAAAACGAGTTTTTTTGGTTAACCATGGTTAATTTTGAAAAAAGTGGTATGGTTAATTGTTAGTGGGATTTCGAATTTATATTACAATAAAATTTTAAAGTTGACTTGATGTAAAAGTAGGAGAGAGACGATACGAATTGATGGCTAATTCAAATTATGTGAGTGAATTAAAGCTGATGTAATGATATTGTTTAATTATATTGATAATATTGGGTATAGTGGATTTAAGTTAAAGTTTAGTGAGATTTTGAGTATATTGAGTTTTTTAATAAACAAACAAACCCTAAGGAAGTTTCTCGTAATTTTAAATGTCCGGAAAAGAAAAGAGAAAATACAATTACACCCCACCAAGCTACGTTTTCGACACGTTACGGGGGTTTTCATAATATGAAAAATAACGGGATCGTTTTGTAAGGAGGATAAACCTCAGGTTAGTTTTTGCTATCAACCAAAACTCCATACCTGCAAGACACGAAATGACAAAACACACCATGTACCCACATCACACGCATGATAGAGTGCACTCGAGAGGCCACTGGATGTGAAGAGAACCCACTCCGCAAATGCCTAAAGTAGAAAACCAACTAAATTTAATGAATTAAGGCTATGTTTGGTAAACCTAGCTGATAAGTTGGCTTATAGCTTTTAAGAGAATTTCGAGCATATAGCTGATAGCTTATGACTTATGAATGAAAAGCTAGCTTATATGATAAAAGTGTTTAGTAAAATTAGCTGATCAACTATTTCAATGGGCTTATTTGAAAAGCTACCCAAGCTTATGAGATAAGCTCGAGCTTTTTTAAAAAATTCGTCCTACCAAATCAAACTTAGTTGAATACATGAAACTTATAAACCAATCAAATAAACTATAAGCTAGTTTCTATGCGTACCAAACACAGCCTAAGTAGCATAATTTATCGTCACAATTAGAGCATATATATATATATATATACCATATATATTATATATATTAAGAGGGTAGCATAATTTATCGTCACATTTAGAGCACACCTTATTCCGAAGAGCCCAATAGGCCGGAAGCACGGCTGCAGCATTGGATGCTATGAGAAAAATCGATTGACGAATGTGCCCTACACGAGTTTTCAGCATTTTTCCTTTAACAAATCATTATATGGCAAGGTATTACCCGAAACTGCTTGTAAGAAAACTTAAAAAGGACACTAAACCGAACCAAAACATAAAAGAGAGAAATATGTCTGCAAATAGAATTTCAACTTGTAGAGCTAAGTAAACCAAGCAATTAAATACGAGCTTTGTATAGGAATTGGTAAGTAGTTAACTTAAAAATAGTTTTGATATACATATTTCTAGTTATTGCAACTTGCAAGCCGTCTAGAAAGTAGGCACATTAAGTTATATGCATTATAGTCTATTTTACACGACGCAAAAGAACAAAAAAAAGGTCCAAACTGATATACAGTGAAAAATACAAAAAAAGGGTCCAAACTGATATACAGTGAAAAATACTAAGTGGATAACTAAAAGCAAAATTTGTACCAAACAGATATGGCGGATTAAGTTCGAATACGAAAATAAGATTTTACCTCGATGGGACACGAGCTCAATACTACAGTCGAAACCTCCATGATTCCTATCACAGGCACAGAAACTAATAGCAAAACACGAAAAGAAAAAAAGAAAAAAAAGAACAAACAAATATTAGATGCTGGTCGAGTCATATTTATAGATTATAACACGTATATTTAAAAAAGGAGAATACATACAGACCTATATAATGTGAGCCCGCTAGCATCCATACCCGTTTGACAAGTCCCATGTGAGGAACATTTGTTTGGACACCTCTCAAGAGACAACGAGAGCATAGTTTGACCAGTCAAACCGGTAGAATTTGGTTTTCCTAACAACCCAATGCCCCATGTTCCTCCTCGTACGTATAAAATATAAAAACTAATTTTCTTCTCACTCGAATCATATGTCCTGAAAAACATCGAGCCATTGCTGCTTCTTGTACTGTTTGCATAGAAATAATCGTAACTAGTAAGAGAAGGTAATCCTCCGTATCTCGCATAAAGTTCGTAGCTGATTTTTGACTCTGAGGTTAAGAGGATGTGAATATTTGCTCCCGTAGCACTATAAGGGATATCGAGCAGGAAAAACGTCCAAGCATTACTATTAATATTTGCTCCAGCCGAAATATTACTCGTAAGGGGCTCCAGAGGAAAGAGTGATGAAGCTGATGATAATTTTCCGGTTACTGGAACAAAGTTGGACTCGAAAGAGAGAGATGGGTTTTTCCTAAGAACTGCCTGTAAGAAAATGAGAAAATAAATACATTTATTAACTAAGTACTCGGAACAATGCAAAGATTATAAGGGTGTGATTGGTTATAAACTCAACCAAAAAAAAACTAATCAGAACTCAAATTTAACCCAACCCCACTATCTTCAATATTATCAATATAATTAAATAATATCAACCAATCATTCTTACACATTACATCACCTTTAATTCGATATTCATCTACTCAAATAATTTAACTAACAATCACTTCCAATCATTTTTTTTAATACTATTACATCAAATCAACTTAATTATTTTATTTTAAATATTATTTTAATAAAATCTTAAATTCCCACTAAAAACTAATCATACCACCTCTTTGGAAATTAACTATGGTTTAAAAAAAAACCAATCAAATTCATGTCCAATCACACCCTAAGTGACTAATCAACAGTAGAATAAACTTATACCTAACCAAACAACAATTACGAATATACTAAAATTATACCTGAAGCATGTATCTCTCAAAAGTACAGTTGACTCCAGCTTTGCCCACAGGACAGTGAAGTATTTGCCACTCCAAAAGATAGCATGCTCTTGAGCTATTGCTTTGCACCGATTGGGTTCTATTAGAGATATCACTCGGCTGAACTGTAATATACCAACGGCCAGCTTTCGGAAAATCTACCACCAAAGGGGCTTTACTTAAGTCAGCAGAAAAATCGTACACTGTATCAAACGGCATTGCACCATATCTAACATAACAATTTAAAGCTTGTGTCCCATTAAAAAATGTCAAATTCGCTGCAGAAAAAATTAGCCTTTCCGAAATTCCCATCACATCCAATGAGTAGATTTTCATATCTTCGTGGCAGCTAATTCCATTTGCATTTGTGCATGCAGTAGCATTTTTATACAATTCATTGTTGAGGTCCACTCCAGTTGAATTATGACTGTCATTACATGAAAGGACATTAACTGTTTGGTTGCAAAACTGGCCAAGCATCATTGAGGTTGCACATCCTTCCACACTAATGTTGCCACTAAAAGAGTATGAATTTCCTCGATTAATCTGCAGTTATAGATCAATAAATATAAAGAAGTTCAGAAATTGAATCACTATATACAACATTGTAAAAAGAACCATTAGAAATACTACCATTTATATCTAGCCTCATTACCAAGAGCAAAAATAATAGCAAAATATTCCACTTTCTTTTTCTTTCTTTTTTTTTTCTGAAAAGTACTCTTGATAACTGTTTTCATTTGTTAATTTAATAACAATCCCTTAGTATCCTTTACTAAAATAAGAACATTTCGATGTTAGAGACCGTACCATTTTAGATTGTGTTCGAGCTGGCCCGATGCCATTGAATAACCCAAAGTACCATGAACCTGGAGGAATCTGTACAGTAACTTAGTTCATTCCGAGAGATCTTCCTATTGCATTATAAACTTATTTCTTTAAGAGTCAAAAATCTTTCAGTTAAACAAACCTGCTCATTTGTCAATCTCAATGAAATATTCCTCTGTAATGGGTAGCACTTTTCAGAGTTTTGAAGACTTTGTGTCCCAACAAAAGAATCATTTGAAATGTGATCCATCACTGCAAAGAGTCAATCTTTCCAGGATTAAATTAATATTCATACTTGAAAGAGGTTAGGTATTTCATGATAAAACTAGAAAATTAAGTTCAACCATCATACATGCTTATAGGATACATTGCAAAAATACCCCCGAATTTAGCCTAATTACAAAAATAGTCCAGACTGCCCGGTTCATATTAAGAAAAAATTGGATACTCCTTTAGCAAATTTTTTGCTTACATACCACAAGAGTGTGTTCGCAATATTTTAAGAGTGAGGGGTGATTTTTGTAATTATCCAAAGGTTCCAACCGAGACACGGCACATTTGTTTAGTATCTGAAAACAGTTAATATTTTTCTTACCGAAGCCCATCTGAGAAGTGTTATACACATCAGGTAGAGGAGGACTTCCTTCTCGGACGCATATAATTTGCGAAAAGCTCGATGATGCATTATTTTTACCAACATCCTGTAACA